TTGTCCAGAGGGCTGAGGAAGGGTTGTTGAGGTGGTTCGGACATGTAGAGAGAATGGAGCGAAATAGAGTGACTTCAAGAGTGTATCAGTCTGTAGTGGAAGGAAGGCGGGGTAGGGGTCGGCCTAGGAAAGGTTGGAGGGAGGGCGTAAAGGAGGTTTTGTGTGCGAGGGGCTTGGACTTGCAGCAGGCATGCGTGAGCATGTTTGATAGGAGTGAATGGAGACAAATGGTTTTTAATACTTGACGTGCTGTTGGAGTGTGAGCAAGTAACATTTGTGAAGGGGTTCAGGGAAACCGGCAGGCCGGACTTGAGTCCTGGAGATGGGAAGTACAGTGCCTGCACTCTGAAGGAGGGGTGTTAATGTTGCAGTTTAAAAACTGTAGTGTAAAGCACCCTTCTGGCAAGACAGTGATGGAGTGAATGATGGTGAAAGTTTTTCTTTTTCGGGCCACCCTGCCTCGGTGGGAATCGGCCAGTGTGATAATAAAAAAAAAATAAATAAATAAATAAACTACCAGGCAAAAGTGTTGTGTTCATAATGCTTCAAAATGCCAGGTTAAATGAATGATCAATGATTACCACAACAAATCTTTCCTCTCAAAGCACATACATTATCTTGATTTTTAAAGAGAGTGTTGCTGCCACCAGCAGCAACAACCTGGTTGACCAGGCAAACCCCAGATGAGCATGGCCCATGGCAGGGCTCCAGGAGAAGAAAAACTATCAGAACTCATCAAAGGCATATCAACAGCATAGTCAGTAGCTAATAGGCATGTCATGCAGCACTTGTACTATTTGCTAACGAATCTTACCCAACCTAACCACAAAGCCACAGTTCCAATATTTGGTGAAAATATTACTGTACAGTAGACCGTCGTTTAACATGGTAATTACATTCCTGAAAATGCCATGTTAGACAAAACTGTGTTAGGCAAACTGAAGAACTTATGTGAAAAATAGGGTTACATTCCTGGGAGCCCCCAAAAAGCCAAACAACTTTTTTTTAAACCTCCAGATCTTACAAAAATAAAAGGAATATGTAATTGTAGTTCATTGTCGTGATGTATTATGTAGTTTTTACTGCGTAAGACTACAAATGCAACAGAAATAATAATACAGTAGGGCCCATATCACACTGTGTAAAAACTCTATGCACATAAAGGGCCCCAAAATATGGAATTCATTACCAGAAGATATTAAAGTAACCCAGTCTGAAAGTCAATTAAAGACTTCTCAAAAGCCACTTAATCACCCTAGACTAAATGCTAAATACTCAGTATACATTTACTCACCTATGTACTCCCACATCATAACTGAAACAATCACATTGAACCTTTTATCCATTGTTCACAGGAATATAATTGAATCATTGTTTTTCACAAAAGCATTTTAGAATATAAATACGTATATCTTTGTATTATACAAAATTTGATTCATTTATAATTAATATTCTACTGTACAACTATGAAATAATTACTTTCCTACTGTACAACTATGATATACTACTTCTTAGTATTAAGTAGACTGTAAGACAATAATGTTAAGTTGGCACATAATGCCAAGGCATAATAGAGGCTCTCTCTGCATTGCAACCCACTATTGTATATACACAATCTCAATGTACTGTGCAAAGACATTAAATAAATAAAATAAATAAAATTGTGGGTTCTGGTGTTTGTCGATGATTGTGAAAAAGTGAAAAAGTCTAACTTTAAGTCATTCAGTAAGCCAGTCAAGTCATTCAGTCAGTCAGTCAAGCCAGTAAGTCAGTAAGTTATTCAGTCAAGTCAGTCAGTCAAGTTAGTAAGTTATTCAGTGAAGTTAGTAAATCAGTCAGTCAAGTTAGTAAGTTATTCAGTGAAGTTAGTAAATCAGTCAGTCAAGTTAGTAAGTTATTCAGTGAAGTTAGTAAATCAGTCAGTCAAGTTAGTAACTTATTCAGTGAAGTCAGTAAGTCAGTCAGTCAAGTCAGTTAAGTCATTCACTAAGTTGAGTCATTCAGTCAGTCAAGTCATTCAGGCAGTCAGCCAAGTCAGTATGTTATTCAGTCAAGTTAGTAAGTCATTCAGTCAAGTCATTCAGTAAGTCAGTCAGTAAAGCCAGTAAGTAAGTCAGTCAGTCAAGTCAGTCAGTAAGTCAGTCAGTCATCACACAAACTCATATCTACCTCATTCTTTTTGCGTACAAAATGACACTTCATTCTGGCTACAGACTATCTCTTGTCTAATATCTATTTTCTTCGTAAACCTTTTCTTGCAACTTTCAGCAACACTTGTATGCCTACTGGGTGCCATGATTACTTGGCAGATTTAAGATATGGCAATTAATACGTATCTAAACAAACACAGCGAGCTACTGGCACAGGTTCGTCCAACACATGTATGAACCGAGCTGAAGGCTGGGAGAGTAGTGGGGGTGGCTGATGCTGGCGGGGGATGGCAGTGGCCCATCCTGCCCCGTGGGCGACCGCACGCTCAAAATGTTTTCCCTTCTGCAACCATGTTAAATTAATTTTATGTGTTAAACAAAAACATGCTGCAATTCTTCAATTGTTCTATAACCAAAACAAAACCGTGTTAAACGACTGTATTGTGCAGTAGAGGTCCACATACATGGCAATGGAATGTTTACGTCTACAACTGGCCAGATACTCTTCAGGATGCCTAACTGCATTTTAACTTTTGGTCAGGATTTTGAAATATCTCGCCAAAATATTGTTCTTTACCTGAACTTGAAAGCATAAAAAGACTGAACAAATTATTCACACTGAAGATGATAGCAAATCATCAGTTTTTCCTTTAAATTTGTTAGACTTCACACATGTATGGGGCCAGAGAAATCTAAGCAAAATTTCAAAAGTGAAAGACTTTTTTTTGCTGATTCATGAATTAATAATAACATGATTGCTAACAAATCAGGGAATGGGTGGGGGTTGAAACCATGGCCACTGAGTGGTAAAACTCATAGGCCAGTGTGCTAACCAATGACCTGTGAGTTTTAAGACTCACCTACCATGGGTTCAAACCCCACCAATTCCATGATTTACTTAGCTGTTTTTTTTTTTTTTAATTCTGAGTTGCAACGACTACCTCAGGTAACCAAATATAAGATTCACATGTCCCTACATCCCTGAAAATAAACTGCAATTTTTTTTTAAACATGCCGGCCATCTCCCACCCAGGTAGGGTGACCCAAAAAAATAAACACTTTCACCATCACTCACACTATCACTGTACTGCCAGAGGCATACAGATAAAACAGTTAAGATGTACCTCCAAACATCAAATATCTCTAACCCTTCCTTTAGAGTGCAGATATGGCACTTCCCACCTCCTGGACTTAAATCTGGCTAACCAGTTTCCCTAAATCCTTGCACAATATGTTACCTTGCTCATACTCCAACAGCTTGTCAGGTTCCAAAACCCATTTGCCTCAACTCACTCCTATCTAACATGCTCACAAATGCCTGCTTAATGTCCAAGTCCCTTGCACAAAAAACCTCCCTTACCCACCTCCATCCTTTCCTAAGACAAGTGCTTTCCCTACACTGTAGATTTATTTACCCCTCAAGTCATCCTATATTGCTCCATTCTCAATACAGTACAAAACATTTTAGGATATGGAAAATCTTTTTAAGATCTGGTATTAGACTAAATGATTACTACATTCTAACAGCTAAATCAATCTCAAGTTATAAATGAGAAAGAATAGAGTGGAGACAATGGCACTCTGCCAATACTTGGTGAATAAGACAAATGCAGAGAAGTCCATTATTTGTAACAGATTTCTTTCAACCCTGAGCTTTATCAAGTACACAGCAGACAGGAGAGCTTCCAACCCTGAGCTTTATCAAGTACATAGCAGACAGGAGAGACAATGTCTTACATAATCCTCCAGGAGTGATGTCACATGGGGTGTCATGTGTTAGGTGGGTAAAACTATTAGGGTAGCCTGTATCCACCATTATTCCCACTGCTGCCACCACCACCATGCCTTCATTCCCCCACCTCCTACCATATTGCCTTCAGCTCTTCTCAATTTTTCTTACCTCAGTTGTGACGACAATGGTACCGGACAGACCAAATGTGTTTTAAGATTCTTAACAGCGGGTTTTTGGTGAATGCTGAAGCAGCTTAACTCACACCTAAGTACACCTACCATCCGACTTATGACCTGCTCGACTTACGACCACTCGACTTACGACCGTGTTTTTTATGCCAAATTTCTGGGAAATAAACAACTACAGTGGACCCCCGCTTAACGATCACCTCCAAATGCGACCAATTATGTAAGTGTATTTATGTAAGTGCGTTTGTACGTGTATGTTTGGGGGTCTGAAATGGACTAATCTACTTCACAATATTCCTTATGGGAACAAATTCGGTCAGTACTGGCACCTGAACATACTTCTAGAATGAAAAAATATCGTTAACCGGGGGTCCACTGTATTTGTGTTGTACACAGTGTTTATCCTAAACCTTACAGTATAAAACACAGTACTAACAGCATAAAACGTAAAGTAAAACATGAAATAGCAAAATAAAACAATAAAATAAAGTCATTACAAAAATGTGATGTTGATATTCAGTAGTAAAGTTCGACTTACGTCCATTGTGACTTACGACCGGTTTCTCGGAACCGAACTCGGTCCTAAGTCGGATGGTAGGTGTATATAACACCTCACATGTGACTTCAATCTCCAGGGATTATATAAGACATTGTCTCTTACATCTTGGGTAAAACATTATACAAATAAATGCCTCCTTTATATTCGTTTTTTCCACCGAAGAAAAGGGTAGTAAATAAAAAAACAAATCAAGCAAAGAGGTATAAGAATGCTGAAGTCAAGAGAGGTGAGGGAACCAAGATCAGGTCAGCCATGACTAGACAATGGTTCAGGAAAGGTCGTAACCTTAAGATTTATCACCGATTTGTGGGTTAATTGTGAATTGTCTGAGCAAGAGTATTGTAGGCAGTGTTCTGCTGCTACGTTCTTACATGATGCTGAGATGTACAGACAGTCTTAAGATTCATAGGATCATCCTCCCTACTTCCTCGTTTACCCAACGACACCACGGAGGCACTGCGGGACAACACGCTCTCATCACGTCGTCCCTCAACTTGTGGTGATACTGACGTCGACTGCAGCTCCTTCAACCTTAAATACAAAATAAAAAATATCATGTACTTCTTCTTTTAACAAACCAGCTGCATCCCACTGAGGCAGGGTGGCCCAAAAGGAAAAACAAAGGTTTCTCCTTTTAAATTTAGTAATATATACAGGAGAAGGGGTTACTAGCATCTTGCTCCTGGCATTTTAGTGGCCTCTTATGGCACATATGGTTTAAGGAGAAAGAATTCTGTTCCACTTCCCTATGGAACTGTCATATTATCTCTAATTTTAAACTTGCTCATTCAGGCATCTGATGTTGCATTACATACAGTAAGGCCCTGACTTACAATACTAATGATTTCCTGAAAACTGAATGCTGGGACTTCCGAATCTATTTTCAAACTGATTCCATTGTGCTGTAATTGGACATGTATCATCAAGTCATAAAATTCTGTACCGAGTTTTTTTTACTTTTAAACTATAAATATTTACTCAAATACTGTAGTATTAAGTTTTTTCTTTATAACTGTATACATATAGGTAGTAGGCTGGTAGACAGCAACCGCCAAGGGAGGTACTACCGACCTGCCAAGTGAGTGTCAAACGAAAGCCTGTACAGTGGTACCCCGAGTTTCGGCCATAATTCCTTCCAGAAGGCTGTTTGAGTGCTGTTACTGAACGAATTTGTTCCCATAAGGAATAATGTATAATTAGATCAGTCCGTTTCAGACCCCCAAAAGCACTTACAATAGTACACTTACATAATTGTTCAAGTTGGGAGCTGTACGAAACTCGGGGTACCACTGTACTTGTTTTACATGATGGTAGGATTGCTGGTCTTTTTTGTCTCATAAGCATGCAAAATTTCAAGTACATCTTGCTGCTTCTACTTACACTTAGGTCACACTATGCATGCATGAACAAGTGTATATAACACACCCCTCTGGGTTTTATATTTTCTTACTAGTTCTTCTTCTTGTTTATTTCCTCCTATCTCCATGGGAAAGTGGAACAGAATTCTTCCTCCATAAGCCATGTGTGTCGTAAGAAGCAACTAAAATGCCGGGAGCAAGGGGCTAGTAACCCCTTCTCCTGTATACATTACTAAAGTTAAGAAGAGAAACTTTTGTTTTTCTTTTTGGGCCACCCTGCTTCGGTGGGATATGGCCGGTTTGTTGAAAGAAGAGAAGAGAATTGCATACATGTTAGTTAGACTGAACAGAGCTACAATACAGTATACAATAGTACTTTACAGTATACAGTACAGTACAGATGCAGAGGGGCAGGAAACAACTGAACTGTCTTGAAAAACAATGGAGAGGAGGAGGGGGAGGGGAGAGGGAGGGAGATGGGAGGGGGAGGGAAGAGGTGATATGTAGAGGTAATTATAACTGCTTAGGAGTATGGTGTAAGCTAGTGGTATGGTGCACCTCACCCATTAAACAAGTGCAGTATGCAGGAGCAGCAAGCACGAGCACCAGCACCAGCACCAATACCAACACCAACACCAACACCCACAGCTATCACAACCCAACCAAACAACATAATTATTTAATCAAAGTTCTTAACCAATATCTACAAAAAAAAAAAAAAAAAAAAAAATTCAAAGTATATATAAAAAAAGCATATTCAGAATACCAATGTATAGTGGAACTCCAGTTTTCTTATGTTCAGAATATTGTACAATTTGGATTTAGACCACTTTTTGGGAAAAATTTTGGTCCGGATTTTGTACCTCCATCTGGAAATCATACGTATCAGACACGTCTGCCTGCCCGAGATGCCGCCACTGTCATGCGTACATGTCTCAGACTAGCTCTGTCACTGGCAAAGTGAGTATTCATCCAAAATATTTCTCAATTTTTGTCCTTGTTTATTGATTACGACTGAGAAACAAGCCACCATGGGCCCAAAGAAAGTTCCTAGCACCAGTCCTTTGGTAAAGAAGGTGAGAAACACAAAAGAATTCAAGAAAGAGATTGCAGGAAAATATGAAACCAGCGTACGTTTAGCCAAGCTTGCCAGGATGTATGTTAAGTCCAAATCAACAGTCTGTTCCATCCTGGCAAAATAGATATCAAGGAAGTTAATGCTGCGAAAGGGGTAAATATACTAACGAAACAGAGATCACAAACAATTTAACATGTGGAGAAGTTGTTGTTGGTATGGATCAACGAAAAACAGTTAGTGGGAGATAGTGTTGCAGAGTCAATCACTTGCGAAAAGGCAAGGCAGTTACATGTGGATCTCATAAAGAAAATGCCTGGAATGAGTGCTGCTGTTAGTGAATTTAAGGCCAGCAAAGGCTGGTTCAACAGATTCTAGAAGCGTAGTGGCATATACAGTGTTGTAAGGCATGGTGAGGCTGCAAGTTCAGACAAATGTGTGGCCAAAGAATTCGTTGATGAATTCAAGGAGTACATAGAGGCTGAAGGATTCCTCCCCCAACAAGTGTTCAGTTATGATGAAACAGGGCTCTTTTGGAAGAAAATGCCAAAGAGGCCCTACACCAGACAGGAGGAAAAGGCACTGCCAGGACACAAGCCTATGAAAGACCGGCTAACTCAGTTGCTCTGTGCTAATGCTAGTGAGGATTTCAAAGTGAAGCCTTTACTGGTGTATCACTCTGAAAATCCCAGAGTGTTCAAGAAAAAAAATATCATCAAGAGTAAATTGTGTGTGATGTGGAAAGCTAATAATAAGGCATGAGTCAAGAGGCAAATTTTCATTGAGTGGGTCCATGAAGTCTTTGGCCCAAGTGTGAAAAAATACCTCCTGGAAAATAAATTGCCACTCAAGTGCCTCCTGATACTGGACAATGCTCCTTCTCATCCTCCAGACTTGGAAGACCAATTGTTTAGGAACTTCAGTTTTATAACAGTGAGGTTCTTGCCTCCTAACATCCAGCTCATGGACCAACAGGTCATTCCTAACTTAAAAAAATTCTACATGAAAGCAATGTTTCAAAGGAGATTTTGAAGTGACCTCGGACACTGAAATGACCCTAAGAGAGTTCTGGAGGGTTCACTTCAATATCCTCCACTGCATAAGCCTTATAGGTAAGGCTTGGCAGGAAGTGACTTTCAGGACTGAACTCTGCTTGGAGAAAACTGTGGCCAGAATGTGTCCAAGAGAAGGATTTTGAAGGGTTTGAGGCTGACCCTGTCGACCCTACGCCTGTTGTGGAATCTATTGTGTCTTTAGGGAAGTCCATGGGGTTGGATGTGAGTAGCCAGGATGTGGAAGAGTTGGTGGAGGACCACAGGAAAGAGCTTACCACTGAAGAGTTGCAAGACCTTCATCTGGAACATCAACAGACCACAGCTGAGGAAATTGCTTCAGAGGAGGAGAGAAGGGATAAGGTGCCTTCTTCAGCAATTAAGGACATGTGTGCAAAGTGGAATGAGCTGCAAACTTTTGTTGAAGAGTATCACCCTGACCAAGCTGATACAAGCCGTATCTGCAACACGTTGTGACAATACTTCATCCCATTTTAGGCAAATTTTAAAGAGATACCAGAAACAGAGCTCTCTGGACAGATTTTTAGTGTGACAGGGGTCCAGTCCCAGTAGAAGACAAAGAAGGGAAGAAACCCCAGAGAGGGCTTTGATACCTGAAGTCCTTATGAAGGGGGATTTCCATTTCAAGCAATAACCTCAACTCCCTCTCCCCTCCTCGCCTTCTTCAATACGCCAACAAGAGTCTTCAATGAAGGTATGTAATGTTCATTTATCATTAAAATTAATCATTTATATAAATTTCTCATTGTTTTCTGTATGTATTTTTTTTTAATATTTTTGGGTGTTTGGAACAGATTAATTGTATTTACATTACTTCTTATGGGAAATACAGTGGTCCCTCATTTTTCATAGTTAATCCATTCTTGGAGTTGCTACTATTAACGAAATCTACGATTTGCGAATCAATTTTCCCCATAAGAAATAATGTAAATACAATTAATCCGTTCCTGACACCCAGAAGTAATAAAACAAAAAAATTTTTTACATGAAATATACATGTAGTACATAAACAATACAATGGGAAATGATGAATGAAACATTAACAGCATAACATTTACCTTTATTGGAGATTCTTCTTAGTGTATGGGAGACTGGAGGAGGAGAGAGATTGGATTGTTTACAGTTTGGAAGGGGAATCCCCTTCCAGCAACACCTCAGGTACCAATTGCTTTTCTGGGGTTGCTTCTCTTCTCTGTTTCTTAATGCCACTAGGACCACCTTGAGAGTCACTCTAGTCCTGTCTTGCAAAATAACTGTGGAGAGAGCTCTGTTTCTGGCGTCTCTTTAACACTTCCTTAAAATGGCCCAAGACTTTGTCACTGTACATATTTCTCACCTTCTTTACCACAGGCTTGGCACTAGGAGCTTTCTTTGGAGCCATGGTAGTTTATTTAGTACTTGCAAGCACTAAAATGAGTGGAATATTATGAAATATTTCGTAGGAGCACTTGAGGGGACCTTCGCTCACTGGTAAACAATGCCAGACTGGCTGGGTAGGGAGGCCGCCCCGGCTCACACCATGCGTACACGTCCCGGATGAACTACTATTTGCGAGTCAACCTATGATTAGCGAGCCCATGTTTATATGAAAATATCCCTATGATTTCCAAAATCTATGATTCCCGAGAACTACGAAAAGCGAGGGACCACTGTATTTCAAACTTTTCGGATTTAAACCGACCGACCTGGAACGGATTAAGTATGAAATCCGAGGTATTTGGGATAAAAACTACGAAAAAACATAATTCAGCCTTAAAAATATTGTAAATATTAAATCTATCTCTTTCAAGCATGCATAAAAATGAAGAAACATCAAATATTAATAAATTTGGTAAAAACCAGGTACAAATACTTATTTTAATTAAATAACTACAATAACAATAAAGACAATAAGAAGAAGAAAATTGTCAAAGTGGGAAGTCTGAATGTGCGTGAATGTTGTGAAATGATAAGAAAGAGATGATTGTGGATGTTATAAATGAGAAGAAGCTGGATGTCCTGGCTTTAAGTGAAACAAAGCTGAAG